CCCAATTTGCTTAAAATATATAATTCATTATATTACACATTTTATATACATCTATTTTTTTAAAAAAAATATGTGCAGTGTTAGGAGAGCAAACATCACCAACCACTTCTAGGGTGTGTCATGCGAAAAGAATATTTTTTGTTATGTGCCACGAAGGCACATCTTATTTACAGCAACCCTAATAGGGTTTTCAAGGTATGTGAGGTGCTTAAGGAATGGTTTAACATCCTCGCTGAGTTTTCACAACCAAGTGGAGATTCAAACCCAAGTCTCCTGAGTCCCATAAATAAATAAATAAATAAATAAATTTGGGGCAGGAAGAGCAAATTCATGATCTCCCGGCTCTTTAACATCGGCTTTTCCCAGCTCCAGCTACTACCAGAAAAAATTCATCTCAAGAAATCCTGGGGAAAGAGATGTGGTCAATCAGCAATAATTAAGAGCCTATCCATTAGGTGTTCGTAATTCAAAGGGAGTTTGTAATTCAAGGGGAATAGTTCAGAAACATCTGCTTTTAAACACCCTCCAACCCACCCACCCACTGGCAAAACATGATCCTTGAAACAGCTCACTGAAGCAGCTTTCAGGGCAGGCAAGAAACACCCCAGGGCCTTCCATGGCAGTTTTAGGGTGGTCTCATCCCTTTGCTATCTATGTAAAGACAAAGGAAGTCTCTTTGAAAGAAAAAAAATGTTCTAATGAAGTGGTTCCCAGTCTTGGGTAACACAGGTGATCTTGGATTGCAGTTCCCCCAAAGCCTTCACCGCCAGCTGTGCTGGACAGGGTTTCTGGGAGTTGTAGTCCAAAAATATATGGGTTGCCCAAGGTTGGGAATCACTGCTCTAACGGGTTGGGCAGTTTGCAGGATGGGAAATTCTGGGTCAGATGACATGTAAAGAGAAATATGTATTTCCTATTAGTGTGTTTTCCCTCCAAACTTGCAATTCCTCCCAACCTATACAGCTGAGAAATCAGATTTACAAATAAAGCTGGGGCTGACCTCCTGATAACCAATGCAAAATGAAGACGAGGACATCTGTACCATCTGGCTTGAGGTAAGCTCATTCTAGGATAAAAATATGTTTTTTACCTCTTAAGTAAGCTTTGCTAGTTTGTGTCAGGTAATTCTGCCCTCAGACTACCCTAGCCTAATCCCACACACGAACACAGGGAAACTGATGCTTAGCGTTTTCTTCTACAACTGGACATCTTCATGAGCTACTTTTTTCTGTTTTGGAAATGGTTTGACAGCTCTCCCTGTGCTGGGCTATAAGATGGAGACAAAATGGGTGTTATAGCTGGTACTGGCAGGCTAGTGTGCCGATTCTTTTTCTGCTCTGGGAGGGAGTAAAACCCATAACCAGGAGCAGCTTGAGGGAAGGGCTGTTGACAAGGTCGAAATCAGATGCAGGAGGTCTGGATATATGGCAGCAACAGCTCATGACATTAGCAGGTGGCTCCTTCCTGCTTGGTCCCTGAGCCACCCAGGAACAAGGTCTGGGGAGCCAAGAACTGGGCTGTGGTAAGCCGACTGCCATGGGAGGAAAACAAAGACAACGTTATTGAGAAATCACACAAATTAACTGTATTTATGCAAACATTTTCCTTTTAAATTGAAAGATATCTGGATTTTATATGTTTTCTTGTAGTGAAACAGAAGTTGTTTTTGAGCACACTGAGGAGATAGTATTCGAACAGCTTCTCAGGCTCTTAAGGCTCTTAAATATGGATTATAGGCCAGGGAGCCTAGAAACTGGCTACAAGACCTAAGAATTGTCTCAGAATAGGTTTCTCTATAGTTTCCCTGCTGTCTACTTACCTTTTCCCTTTGTTCTTTCCCTTGAGCTCCCTCTTTCTAATGCACTCAAACTCACAACCCAGCACAAAAGGCCCTGCGTTTACAAAACAGATGACAAGCCCTCCTTTCCCTTAGTCAATTCCTTATGTTTCACTTATTAGAAATTCAGCGGTCTTCTAGCTCCCTTGCAAGTTACTGCACACAATTGAGAAGATACTGGCTAAAAATCCAGAAGCAAATCACAACTATTGTAGTTCCATTAAATCAAGGGGACATACATAGGTGTTGACTCATCAAATCCCTACTGATTCAGTGTGCCTACTTTAGTTGTGACTTATTACTGAATTGCAGCCAGTGTCCCTCACCACAAAATCTTCTCACAAGTATTCAGTGCTTTTTTCCCTCCTGCCCTGTTCCCTGAAAGGTAGAAAGTAAGGAATGGTTCCTCAAGACAGCCTTCTGTCTGCATTGCATCCTGGAATTCACCAGTAAAATAAAACAAAGACTGTACTTCTTCCTTCTTCAACAGAGGACAATTATAATGTTTTTTCTCCCCATATTCCTCTGTCTCTGCTATTTGTGGCATTGTAACAGTCTCATGACAATATGAGCCCATAACAGTGTTCCTTCTGGCATGTAGCGGGAAGCTGCATCATCTTCTCCTCTGGCTATCTGTGTGAAGACTGGCTAAGGTGTCCAGGTATTTTATTTTTCTATGTGAAGGGGAAGACAATGCCTTGATTGTAGGCATCAAAGAACATTAACGAGGGAATGGAACAGAGGCCTTGAAGTTGTCTATCCACAATTAGCATCTGCTCAACAGTTTAAGCAAACACCTAAGTCGCTCAGTTAGGAAATGAAAGGATGCTAAACAGGATAAGAAGATTCAGAGTTTGCACCATGCACTGAGAAGTGCATTTGGTCCACCTGTTTTATAGTGCTTATAATGTTTGTGGTGTTTATGTTTGGAAATGTTTGATTTATAGTAGTTGATGAACCTGGTTTATAGGTTAAGCTGGTAAGATGGCTTCAAAGGAAAGCTGCTTCCCTGATTTTTTTTACATACAACTGGTGGTATGAATCAGAAATGTGGGGAAAAACATTTTGGGACCAATGCTTTCTAACTTGTTTGTTAACATTATTTTTATTTATTTAAAATATTTATACACTTTCTCCTCTAGTGGAACCAAATAAATGATGTTTGGGGAAGGAAGTGAGGTGGCTATTTGCTGATAACAACAACAATATGGTAAAGATGCAAGGGGGGGGAGTAATTTTTCAGTTGTTTAAGAAAAAAGGTAATGTGTATATTTATTCATTTATTAATAAAATGCATTTTAAACTGGTGGTTAAACTGCAGTACTGCAGTCAAGCCTCTGCTCTCAACTCAAATCCAATACCAACAGATTAAGGTAGCTAGTTTAAGCCTTCTGGCTTTCTGAGGTCGCTAAAATGAGTACCCTGCTCTCTAGGGGACAAAGTGTTACTTGCATAATCATGTTGTAAATTACCTAGAGAGTGCTTTAGCTTTAGGGTGGTATGTAAGTCAAAATAACAATAACACATATATTCACGTTTCCTTCCTCTTCTTCTTCACTTCATCCTCAAAAGAGCATTGTGCTGTAGGTGAGACTGCAAGACTGTGAGTGGCCCCCAGAAATCAAATTCCTAACCTAGTAAGTTAAATTATTGAGGGTGATTTGAATTCTCAGATCCCAACACACATTAACAATAACCTCACTGGCTCATATAAGGACTGTGTAGAGGAAGTGGGCAGAGAGAGAAATATATTAATACTAGAATTCCATGGCCAGAAACACACAATATAGATAGCCCATAATTAGAGCTGAAAACCATTAAGCTCTCAGATGCTTTCATTAGTCAAGGATTTTCTTCCAATCATGGTCTGTCAGCAATGTTTCCAGACAATGTCATGCATTGAAACTGAATGGTGGAAGATTCAGTACTGAGGAATAGAAAATATTCCTTCATACCATATATATTTAAACTAGGGAATCTGATTCCACAAAATGTGGTGCCTTCCGCCAACCTGTATGTTTTCAAAGTTGATTAGATACATTTATTAAGAATAAGGCTGAAAATGGCTGCTGTTTAATCATTATGGCTACATATTATCTTCTTCAGTGCCAGAGGCACTATACCTCTGATCATTTCTAGGGAACACAGTCAGAACTTGTAGAGGGAGGTAGCCATGTCAGGCAGAAGACACTGGAGAAGGACATAATCTTGTCAATTGCTTCAGATGCCAAATATCTTGAGGCAGGCCTAGCCATGGTTGAGGTCAAGTCAGCAATGGTGAATTACAGACCTTGTGCATGTGTAGTGAAATTGGGTACAGGCTGAGGAACAGACAGAGGCTGGACACTATGACCAACAATATGGTCTGTTTCTTTCTGTATGTTGTTTACATTTATGAAGTGGGTGCCTCTTGCCCCCAAAAGTCTATGCCATGATGTCTTTTTAAAGATGACCCCAAATATCACTTTTAAGCCGCCGTTTTGGTCCAATCCATCTCTTTCACAACTTCAGAAACACATTATTGCTTCTGCCAAGTTTGAAATTCCAGTGGGTAGCTGTGTTAATCTGTTAACAGAAAACCCTCAGAAAAAGCCAAGTCCTGTGGCGCTTTAAAGATTTAACAGATGTATGGGGCATTTTAAAAATTGAATTAAAACCCGTATTTCATTGAATGGATAGGTGTTACCCTCAGCCCCTCAGTGCACAATTTCTGCATCTTACACAAAAACTGTGTGCCACAGATGCATCATCATGACCCAATAAATCTGGAAATCTTTCAAGTGCCAGAAAGCTCTCTTGAGTGTGTGTGCCTTTGTATGAAACTGCTACACCCGTGGATTAGAAAAAGTGACTTTTTGGGGACTACTGCTCCCAGAATCCTCAGAGCGGTGGTCCAAAAACAAGTATCTTCCCTAAGATGGGTCTATACAGGACTTTGGTTTTTAGACCCTCACACAGACCCTGGTCTGTCCTCGGTTCTCTCCTGACCCGCTTTGGGCTGGGGGCTGGGGGTGGGGTGGGGGTGGACACCGTTATTTTGGCTCCCTTTGGCCAAGGGGTCGGGCGGGAAGGCGAGGAGGAGACTGGAGACTCTGCTGTGAGGAGGGAGAGAGGTCCGTGCCAGGGCCCAGACGGGAGGGAAGCGGCGCCGGAGGGGCGGAGCCAGGCCAGCGTGAGGCAGCACATTTCGCTCCGCGGCGGCATCACCATCACCACCACGACCTCCCTCAGCCCCGGCTGCAGCAAGAAGCCAAGCGTCGGGAAGCGGCATCCGCGGAGCATCCTTGGCCGAGGTGCTGGAGATTCCCCGCTTTTGGGATCCCCGCTTCCGAGGGCCCGTCTTCGACGCGCTTCTGGCTTGCCCCCCCCCCGCGAAAGGCTGCCCGCAGCCAAGGGAGACCCAGATTTTAGCCCACCCAGGTAAAATGCCAGCTGCTGGGTGCGCGCGCGCGCGGGGGGGGGGATCTCAGTGGGTGATGCCAGGGCTCTACCTCCTCTTCCCAAGCCCTTAAAGCAGCGGGAGGAAAGATGTTGCGGCTAGATCGGGGTGTCCCACCCAGCCTGGATTTGCAGAGCTCCTTGCAAAGGAAGGAGGTTCGCGTAGCTTCCTAAATGCAAACTGAGACTTCACGTTGAGCAGCAGGTCTGTGCTTCACAGCCTTCCTGCAAGAGCATCAGCTGGCAAGGAGGGGAGGGGAGGGAGGCGTCGTGCGTAGTTGTTAACAGGAGGGGGTGGGAGGGAGTTGGGAACCAAATATTTTGAATATTTCCGGGGCTACAGCTCAAATCTTTCGGATTCTCTAACCCCCCCTCCCAGTGTCATTCAAAAACGAGTTATCTGGGGTATTCCCCTACACTGGCCTTCTTCTTTTAGGATCTAGTTGCTGGTGATGCGGGGACTTCAGACAAGATGGCTCATCGGCTACCTAGGATCCTAATGGGTGGGGTGGGTAGGTCATTGCTTAAGAACCCGCGCGGTGTGTCCCAGTAAAGATGCTCATCCATATTGCTTGTGCATTACCCAAACAAGTAGAAAAGGGGAGGGGAAAAAAAATGAAGTCCTGCTATTTTTGGAATGACTTGATTGGTTTTGACACTGAAGGGGTTAAGCCCAACCAGAAGATTAAAAAAATGAAAACCTATTTCAAATTAACTGGAGGGACAACTGAGTAAGCATATTTATTTATTTATTGAAATAGGTATTTCGTCTCCTATATATGTATAAAACCTCAACAACAAATGTTTTAAAAACAATTTAAAACTACAGTACCGGTATATCCATCTAACTCTGCAACTTAGCTAGGCCAGCTTTTTGTAATTAATTCAAGGTAAGCTGAATTGATGAGAAAAGCCTTTAAAAATTGGCAAATTTAATTGCAGTCCTATACTTGTTTTTAGTAGAATGAGTCAGGGCCTCTGAGCTCCATTTGAGATGGCTTTTGGATCATGTGGAAGTGAATACCTCAATCCCAAATGTGTGTGTGTGTGTGGTGTGCCTTGCTGCTCAAGTCATAAACTGATCATAGACATATTCCCAGGTAAATAGGTTTAGGATTTCATATTCAAATACCTGGGAGTAATTTGCATTGAATTCAGTGGGCCTGACTTCTAAGAGGAGAGTATGTTTAGTATTGTACTATTGAACATATTTCTTGACTGTTTCTTTAACTTCCTAGAAATCAAATGGTTTATTAGGCTAAACACATTATGTACCAAAGTCCTATTAAAATGCTAGTGTTTCAGTTTGAATGATACCTTTTGTTTAGGTTTAAGCTTCAAATCATTCAGGGATAAATGTTCAAGGCCACTGTGTAACTTTCCTTATACTGTATTCAAAAGATGTGTGTGATTATGCACCTTTTGGGGTTTTGAAATGTCATCCTGTGGTGTCTCCTGGTGTGGAAAGATTGCTTCTGGCATTTAATATTTGCTTTATGGTGAGGAGAGGATTAAGGGAAGACATGATAGCTGTCTTGACAGATATCTGACTGACTGTCACATAGAGGGTGGAGCAGTCTTGAGTTCTGTGCTCCTGAGGGTATGGCTAGAATTGATGGATGGAAATCCCAAGGGCACAGATTTTGGTGAAGCATTAGGACAAAGGTCCTAATGGTAAGAAGTGTTTGACAATAGAGATTATTATCTCAGGAGGTGGTAAACTCTTGTTTTTCAGAGATATTCAGGTAGAGACTAGATGGGCATTTATCAGGACCAACACTAACTTCTCCCAGGAATTTCACGGGTTTGAGCAGCATGATTTTTTCCAATAAAAATAAAAAAAATATTCCAATAACTAAATAAATATTCATTAAGTAAATATTTAATGAATACTGTGCCCCTAGCCACCCAGAATGGAATTTCAGGGGTTTGAGCAGCATGATTTTTCCCAATAAAAATAAATAAATAAATATTCCAATAACTAAATAAATATTCAGTAAGTAAATATTCAATGAATACTGTGCCCCTAGCCACCCGGAACCCCGTGAGTTCAACATGGAAGGCATGAAAGTGGTCTACTTCTCTCCCCCCTCCCAATTAGTGGTCTAATTCAGACTCTAGATCAGGGATCATAAGGATCTTTAAGATTCATTACACACATTACTGTAGGGAAATGATTGTCATTGCTATAGAAGAGAACCCCAATAGAGAGAAGTGCTCTCTCTCTCTCTCTCTCTGTGTGTGTGTGTGTGTGTGCACATGCGTGTGTGTGAATGAATTACACCTCCTCCAGTTGTAGTCATGTTTTTGGGGGGCATAAGAGCTATATACAGATTTTGAACTACATCCAGGTCCTGCACCCTTAACCCCAGTGTTGTTGAAGAGAGAAGTGCAGTTGTAAAATTCCAGCATGGACATACACTAGCTAATCTCTTAGGTACTTCCCAACCCCAAAATTCTGTGATTCTGTGAGAATGCAGTAACATGCATCTTATCTGATCTCTGTGGCATCATGATGGAATGACTTGTATTTGCAACAAAGAAACAAACAACAATCCTCTTTCTGGGCAACATTTAGGAGCACAACACAACTTCTCAGTTGTGCATTTGCTTTTCTGACTGTCCCTTCTGTGTCAGTTTTATCTCTTGCAAGCATCCATGGCCTGAATATTAATAATATCTATAGTGAAGTTAATATTTCCATTGCACATGTCTAGACAGTCCAAACAGCTTCATCCATGTACAAGAGAGGGATATTAACAGGATTCAGAGAAGACCAAGGCTTGCAAAAAGACCCCCTTCCCCCAAATACCCTTTTAAGGGAAAAACATAAAGAGGGGAGAATTTTTTAAAAGACCTAGTAAGGACTGAAGATCCTCAGTGGTAGCAGTATATGGATTAAATACTGAGGCATGGGGAGGGGGATCAAAAACAAGGGGGGAGTGGGAGTGTCTCAGAAGAACGCTGGAATCTTGAACAGATGCATTCCACATGATAGGTGCTTTTTGTTAGACATTTCCTCCTGCTACAATTCAATAGGCATTGTTCAGTTATCCTTTCTTTTACTTCTTAACTGATTTTTTTCAGCATGGGAGGGAAGATGGCAGAGGCACTGGGAAATCATGGGATGGTTACATGGAAGACATTATCTGGCCCCTTTGTGAAATTTGGGCAGTTTCAGAGTTCTGTTTTGATATTTGATTCTGTGAAGATATTTCACACAATTAAAGCATTAATTACTTGGCAGTAAAAATTGTGATGAGACTGCATCAATTGGTCCTAAGAAATCCTTTGTTAGGTTTTCCTTTACCCTCTTCTTGGCAAAGAACTGGACAGTCATAAGCTGTATACATTACTTAAAGATTGAGTGCTCTGGAACATCATATTCAAATAACTATGCTGTTTAAGATAGTTGTGTTCTACAGGTGAACAACACGTTGATTTCATGAAGATCATTGCCTTGTGAAACAAAATATTGCTTTTGTGGAATGCAAGCTAACGAGTTATAAATTAAAGTCTAACAAGTAGAAAGTTGAGAGTTATGGAAACAGACAGTAAACGTTTCTAATCTCTCTCCCTTGAGAAGTCATTTTATTTGAATCATGTTGGGATCTGCTATTGTCTATTAAACTGTTTGGTACAATTTGAATCATTGTTTTCCTTTGATATAACTTGATTGTCGGAGGGTGGGTCCTAGGACAGCAGTTCTCAACCAGTGGGACACATAGTGTTGCTATGAGACAGAAGTACTCTTTGTGAAACACACAATTACTAAATTACTAAAAATAATTACTAAACATCCACTGTCAGTCAATCTCTACAAGTGTAATATATCTGACCAGCTTTGGATCTGACCTGCTGTAGATCATTCCTTTTTGACATGGGAAAAGAAACTTTGGACATGCAGTGTCTCTTCTAACTTCTTGTTCCTCCAACTCTCCCAGTAACAAATATAAGAACAGAAAGTCTGTAAACATACCACTTTCCTTCACGGAAATTGGGATTTTGGATTAAGATGGGACTTTGGTACTTTGATAGAAAGTTTGGTGGGAACTAAGATGGGAAGAGGTGGGAAACATTGCTCTAGAATTTAGTTTCAATGGGTACTGGACAGTTTTCAATAATTTCACCATTGCCACATTTCTACACACTGAACAATGTTGCTGTAGCACGATTGGTCCAAGACATTGGGTTGCCTGAGGCGGATGGTGATCCAAATTCATTCTAGTCAAGGAGTTATAATCCCCAAAGCCAGCTACATTATTTTGGCACATAAAGCAGAAAATCCCACAAACACCTTTCTATGCCTGGCAATAACAAGACATTAATAACAAATTAAGTAACTAAAAGTGACTCACCAGATCTGTTGCTTGAGGCAGAGACTTTATTTTGCCTAATAGTAAGGTTAGCCCTGCCTGTCACACATGCAGAACATGCCTTCCTCCACACATAGAAAGCAAGGATCAGTATGCTATTTTCTAGGCAGTGTGTCTTCCATTCCTTATTTCCTCACTCTGATATCCTGATAAGATTTCAAGGAACTTTTGGGTGGCCCAGCACACAATTTGAAATCCATAGTCAAATGACTGAATAGTAGATTTATTTACTGCATTTATATCCCATCTGTACACCAAAGAGGTCAGACATGGTTCCTCTTCCCAAAATTTTATTCCCCAAACAGTCCAATAAGATGTGGCATTCAAACTGCATTGAATGATTTTCATAACTGAATGGTCATTTCAATCCTTCAGCTCCCCAACCCTTCAATTTCATTTTGTGTTACTTACTCGTTCAGCACACTGACTGCATGGACTGTGCAAGGAAAAAACCCTTTCAGGACTCCAGGTTAACTTCTGACTCAGTTGCTTCCATCATGCAGAGAAGCTCAACCATACATTGCTATTGCCCAATCATTAGGGTGTGGTGTTGTCAATGTCTGGAAGAGTAACTTTTTTTCACTGTAGCTCCCAGGATCCCCAGTG